AATTGTAACCGGGATTTTTTTAGTTACATAGTTAGTCTGGCTGAAAAAAGACAAAAGTCCATCCAGTTCAAAAAAATAAAAAGTTATAATCCTCCACCCACAGTTGATTCAGAGGAAGGCAAAAAAATCCCAGCAAAGCACGATCCAATCTGCTCCTGCAGGGAAACATTCCTTCCTGATCCCCCGAGAAGCAATCGGATATTCCCTGGATCCACTTTCCCTATAAATGTTATATCCAGTTATATTCTGTGTATCCAAGAAAGAATCCAGGACTTTCCTACAGCAATCCACTGAGCTGGCCACACCCAACTCTGGAGGGAGTCTATTCCATATTTTTGTGGCAATGGTGCAGTAAAGGCTTGTTTCTGGCAACTCCACCATGCAGCTCATTTTTGTTCAAGTATCGTTGTATTGCGCTTATGGTTGGTTGTGACGATAAAGCTCTATTTTGGCCTTGTCACTCCAGATTACAGTGTGAGGCGTGTCAGGCTGTTGTCGGCCATATTGTAACCGGGCTTTTTTTGTGGCATTGGCGCAGTAAAGACTTTTTTCTGACAACTCGACCCTGCAGCTCATTTTGGTTTCAAGTATTTTTGTATTGTGCTCCTTGAAACAACCGCGCCATCTTTTTCCAGAACAGCCTGGATTTCTCCTGAGGTTACCTGTGGGGGGTTTTCTTTGTATCCCCAACAATTCTTCTGGCAGTTATGGCTGCAATTTTTCTTGGGCTACCTGACCTCGGCTTGGTATCAAGAGATCCCCGAATTTTCCACTTCTTAATAAGTGATTGAACAGCACTGACCGGCCTATTCAAGGCTTTGGATATCTTTCTATATCCTTTTCCATCTTTATAAAGTTCCATTACCTTGTTACGCAGGTCTTTTGACAGTTCTTGTCTGCTCCCCATGGCTCAGTATCCAGCCTGCTCAGCGCAGCCACGTGAGAGCAACAAACTCACAGACTATTTATACACAGACACTGATTGCGATTTAAAAAGCTACAGATGTGGGAAATGAACCTTTTAATTGGCATTGTAACCCGTGTGTGTCCCCTTGTGTGTCTGTCCCAAGGCCGAACATTTCAGGGGAGGGGGGGGGAGACTTTTGATGGGGGGGGGGGGGGAGGGGGGAGACTGTTGATCGGGGGGGAGACTGTCGATCGGGGGGGGAGACTGTTGATCGGGGGGGAGACTGTTGATCGGGGGGGAGACTGTTGATCGGGGGGGAGGGGGGGAGACTGTTGATCCAGGTCATTTGGGGGATTTCTGTTATCATTGGGATTTAAAAAGGAGCCGAACAACCATGTGACCAGAAATGGCTTCATGTCATCACCGTCCTTCAATAAAAGACAGGTTTTCTGGCAGGATCGGCCATATTTTCATCATCAGTGCCAACATTTCACCGTTTCCGCCGGAGGAGGGAGACTTTTCAGCACAACTGTATATTTTATGTGTACCAATAAATAAATAATTTGCGCTAGTAAATGTGTATAAATATATAAAGAAATCATCAAATCATAAGTCCAGAAAAAAATATATATATGCCAATACCACAAAAAAATATATAAAAAAACTTTTAAGTGCAAAAAACTTTTGTGCAAAAAAAGTGTCTAAATATGAAAAATTTCACCAAAAAACCTTGATAATATAATGTCAGATCATCCATAAATATATCTTCAGAAACGGAAACTCTGCAACACACCGATCCTCATCGATCGAAATAACAGGATGAAAAACTTTGTAGTTAATCGAAAATCCACTTCTCCAATAGGTAAAGGACCACCTTCAAACGTATCCATGGGGGGAAATGCCAAACACTCGAGAGAAACAGAAAGACTTCATGGTGCAATATTATAAAAACCAATTCCTTTATTAGGTACTCATTGCACTTACTCAAGAGGTGTCCCAGCCGACACCAGCATCAACAGCATAACAGCAATCACATAAACGAGCCTGGCTACTCAGCACATGCGCAGTAGCTGGCAGCCAAAAAACGTAATGACGTCACATCAATCAAACTCCGCCCTACGCGTTTCGTCATCGACGTCCTCACGGATGATCTGCCATATATTTATGGATGATCTGACATTATATTATCAAGGTTTTTTGGTGAAATTTTTTCATATTTAGACACTTTTTTTGCACAAAAGTTTTTTGCACTTAAAAGTTTTTTTATATTTTTTTTTGTGGTATTGGCATATATATATTTTTTTCTGGACTTATGATTTGATGATTTCTTTATATATATTTCTATATTTATACACATTTACTAGCGCAAATTATTTATTTATTGGTACACTTTTTATATATGGTGATTTTTTGCAGCTGGTACACTATTAGTAAGTTATATAATTTTGACCATAGGCGCTATTATTAATTTTTCTTATTCTTGTATATTTTATGTGTTTATTTTTATCAATTTACAAAATGCAAAGTAAATGAAAGGAAGAAAACTCGATGGAATCAATATTTGGTGTGACCGCCCTTTGGCATCAATTGTTACATTTGCACAAGGTCGGGGATTTTGTAGGATTGGAGTCAGGTGTATGAGTAACCAATTGTACCAATCAGGTGCTGAAGATCATCAGTTTCAGCTGAGTCGGGGGCTTACAACTGGGGGAGGAACAGCCAAACTCTGCTACTGAGGTGAGGTTGTGGAAGCCCGTTTCATGTCACAGGTCATACACCATGGATGAGATTGCGTCAGCAAGGCCTCCCCCAGGCAAAGAATTCAAAGCAGATCGGGGTTTCTGCTGTTCAAGATCTTTTGAAGAAGCGCAAAGAAACAGCCAATAATGAGGAGCGTAGATGCAGTGGTTGGGTAATGTTGAGGACTGCAGATGCAGTGGTTGGGTAATGTTGAGGAGCGTAGATGCAGTGGTTGGGTAATGTTGAGGAGCGTAGATGCAGTGCTGGGGTAATGTTGAGGACTGTAGATGCAGTGGTCGGGTAATGTTGAGGACTGCAGATGCAGTGGTCGGGTAATGTTGAGGACTGCAGATGCAGTGGTGGGGTAATGTTGAGGACTGTAGATGCAGTGGTTGGGTAATGTTGAGGAGCGTAGATGCAGTGGTTGGGTAATGTTGAGGACTGTAGATGCAGTGGTTGGGTAATGTTGAGGACTGTAGATGCAGTGGTTGGGTAATGTTGAGGAGCGTAGATGCAGTGGTTGGGTAATGTTGAGGAGCGTAGATGCAGTGCTGGGGTAATGTTGAGGACTGTAGATGCAGTGGTCGGGTAATGTTGAGGAGCGTAGATGCAGTGGTTGGGTAATGTTGAGGAGCGTAGATGCAGTGGTTGGGTAATGTTGAGGAGCGTAGATGCAGTGGTTGGGTAATTTGAGGACTGTATATGCAGTGGTGGGGTAATGTTGAGGACTGCAGATGCAGTGGTGGGGTAATGTTGAGGACTGTAGATGCAGTGGTGGGGTAATGTTGAGGACTGTAGATGCAGTGGTTGGGTAATGTTGAGGAGGGTAGACATCCTCCTTTATGTAGACATCCCGAAGCTCTGAGACTGCTCCAGGGTGCCGCCATCTTGGATGTGATGTCAGCGGCCTCAGCAGACTCATCGCTGTCACTCAAGTGACACTTTAGAACAGCGGTACCCAACATACGGCCCGTGGGCTCCATGCAGCCCCCTACCTATTGGGCACCAGAGGGCCGCAGAGCTGCAGTGGGGTGTTGGGCTCTGCAGCGCTCTCTGCATTCCAGCGCCCAGTACTGAAAGAACGACTCTACTGCACGTGGTCTACCAGGCCATTTCATGTGGCCCTCGCCTCCAGGGGGAGCGGTGGAGGTGAGATGTGGATAACCTGTGAAAAAGAGCTGAACTCTGCACTCTGTACACGGCACACCCCTGAACTCTGCGCTCTGAACACGGCACACCCCTGAACTCTGCGCTCTGTACACGGCACGCCCCTGAACTCTGCGCTCTGTACACGGCACGCCCCTGAACTCTGCGCTCTGTACACGGCACGCCCCTGAACTCTGCGCTCTGTACACGGCACGCCCCTGAACTCTGCGCTCTGTACACGGCACGCCCCTGAACTCTGCGCTCTGTACACGACACGCCCCTGAACTCTGCGCTCTGTACACGGCACGCCCCTGAACTCTGCGCTCTGTACACGACACACCCCTGAACTCTGCGCTCTGTACACGGCACTCCCCTGAACTCTGCGCTCTGTACACGACACGCCCCTGAACTCTGCGCTCTGTACACGACACGCCCCTGAACTCTGCGCTCTGTACACGACACGCCCCTGAACTCTGCGCTCTGTACACGACACGCCCCTGAACTCTGCGCTCTGTACACGACACGCCCCTGAACTCTGCGCTCTGTACACGGCACTCCCCTGAACTCTGCGCTCTGTACACGGCACGCCCCTGAACTCTGCGCTCTGTGCACGACACGCCCCTGAACTCTGCGCTCTGTGCACGACACGCCCCTGAACTCTGCGCTCTGTACACGACACGCCCCTGAACTCTGCGCTCTGTACACGACACGCCCCTGAACTCTGCGCTCTGTACACGACACGCCCCTGAACTCTGCGCTCTGTGCACGGCACGCCCCTGAACTCTGCGCTCTGTGCACGGCACGCCCCTGAACTCTGCGCTCTGTGCACGGCACGCCCCTGAACTCTGCGCTCTGTGCACGACACGCCCCTGAACTCTGCGCTCTGTGCACGACACGCCCCTGACCTCTGCGCTCTGTGCACGGCACGCCCCTGACCTCTGCGCTCTGTGCACGACACGCCCCTGACCTCTGCGCTCTGTGCACGGCACGCCCCTGACCTCTGCGCTCTGTGCACGGCACGCCCCTGACCTCTGCGCTCTGTGCACGGCACGCCCCTGACCTCTGCGCTCTGTGCACGGCACGCCCCTGACCTCTGCGCTCTGTACACGACACACCCCTGAACTCTGCACTCTGAACACGGCGCACCCCTGACCTCTGCACTCTGTACACGGCACACCCCTGAACTCTGCACTCTGTACACGGCACACCCCTGAACTCTGCGCTCTGTGCACGACACACCCCTGAACTCTGCACTCTGTGCATGGCACACCCCTCAACCCTGCGCTCTGTACACGGCACACCCCTGAACTCTGCGCTCTGTACGCGGCGCACCCCTGAACTCTGCACTCTGTACACGGCACACCCCTGAACTCTGCGCTCTGTACGCGGCGCACCCCTGAACTCTGCACTCTGTACGCGGCACACTCTTGAACTCCTGGTATTTATTGTCCCTTTAAGATCCTCCCACTATTCAATTTGGCCACACCTACTATTCGATGCAGTTCAGATGTGGGCATGGCACCTATTCTCAGCAGTCTCTGGTCATCTCCTGTACTGTGTCCGCAGTCTCTGGTCATCTCTTGTACTGTGTCCGCAGTCCCCGGTCATCTCCTGTACTGTGTCCGCAGTCTCTGGTCATCTCCTGTACTGTGTCTGCAGTCTCTGGTCATCTCCTGTACTATGTCCGCAGTCTCTGGTCATCTCCTGTACTGTGTCCGCAGTCTCTGGTCATCTCCTGTACTGTGTCCGCAGTCTCTGGTCATCTCCTGTACTGTGTCCGCAGTCTCTGGTCATCTCCTGTACTGTGTCTGCAGTCTCTGGTCATCTCCTGTACTATGTCCGCAGTCTCTGGTCATCTCCTGTACTGTGTCCGCAGTCTCTGGTCATTTCCTGTACTGTGTCTGCAGTCTCTGGTCATCTCCTGTACCGTGTCTGCAGTCTCTGGTCATCTCCTGTACTGTCCGCAGTCTCTGACCGTCTCCTGTAATGTCTGCAGTCTCTGACACTGAATGCCCCGTGCGTCCTGTTGGTGAGGGGTCAGGGGTCGCATGTATCCAGCCGGTTGTCCTCCATTGCTTTACCCTTCTGTGACCTCTGAGGGCCGCATACCGTAGGTTCCCCCATTGTTCTCCTTCCCCAGACAGGCCAATATCCAGAGCCATCCAATCATTCGCTGACATTCTGTGATCTAGAAGAATACTGAACTCCCTCCACCATTACAAGCGGCTTTTATGGCCCAATTCCCCCTAAAAAAAAAAAAAAGAAGAAGGTTTGAATGTGGAAGGGAGGCAGCGCCCTTCCCGGGGATCGCTGGGTCTCATTTCGCAGCAAGGCTGTAAATAAAGCTTATTGACCTCTAAATAATAATGGGAGTGTAATAATCTCTCCTCACACGAGGCGAAGGCGCTCCTCCGCTTGGCTCCCTCCCAAATTACGAAGATAAGTCCGGCATTTCGGTGCGGAAACCATTTCACCGGGGAGTCGCGAGCGAGCCGAGGGGGGGGAGGGGGGGCTGGCTGCCATTGTTTTACGGCACCCAAGTAAATCCGCCGAACATTATTAATATTTTTAATTTTCTTTTTATGGGATTTTAAGAATTTAGCATGACATCATCACACTTAGAAGCAGCATGGGAAATCATTATTATTTTTAGGGGGTCTGGGGGAGTCTTATTGTTCTCGGGGTCACAAGGCTGTCGGGGGCGGGGGGGGGGGCTTTACACAGGGTGTGGAAGACGAGGAAAAAGGGCAAAAAGACCTTAAAGGGAAACCCCGTGTTTGCTGGATATCAATTATCGTATTGCCACGGAGACACCTTAAAGGAAAACCTCCGGCCAGAAATAGAAACTACAATTTTGGGGATTTTTTAATTAAAAATAAACTAATTTTAGTTTTTATTTTAAAAAAAAAAACCCCTCAAATTTGGGATTATTTTTATTAAAAAATAAACTAATTTTAGTTTTTATTTATAAAAAATAAATGAAAAAAAATTTTGGATTTTGGATTTTTTATTAAAAAATAAACTAATTTTAGTTTTTATTTATTTTTTTTTTTATTTAATAAATATAAACTCAAATTTGGGATTTTTTTTATTAAAAATAAACTAATTTTAGTTTTTATTTAAAAAAAATACAAACTCAAATTTGGGATTTTTTTATTAAAAATAAACTAATTTTAGTTTTTTTTTTTTATAAAAAAAACCCCTCAAATTTGGGATTTTTTTTATTAAAAATAAACTAATTTTTATTTTTATTTTTATTTATAATAAAATAAATAAATAAAAAAAATTCAAATTTTGGATTTTTTTTATTAAAAATAAATATAATTTAAATTTTTATTTATAAAATAAAAATAAACCTCAAATTTTGGATTTTTTTAATTAAAAATAAACTAATTTTAGTTTTTTTTTATAAAAAAAAAAAACCTCAAATTTGGGATTATTTTTATTAAAAATAAACTAATTTTAGTTTTTATTTATAAAAAATAAATGAAAATTCAAATTTTTTAATTTTTTTTATTTAAAAATAAACTAATTTTAGTTTTTATTTATTTAAAAATAAATATAAACTCAAATTTGGGATTTTTTTTTTTATTAAAAATAAATAAAATTTTAGTTTTTTTATTATATAAAATATAAATGAAAACTCAAATTTGGGATTTTTTTTTTAAAATAAAATAATTTTAGTTTTTATTTAAAAAAAATAAAATACAAACTCAAATTTGGGATTTTTTTTATTAAAAATAAAAACTAATTTTAGTTTTTTTTTATAAAAAAAAAAATATTAATTTTTTTTTTTTTTTTTTAAAAATAAACTAATTTTATTAAAATTTATTTATAAAATAATATAATTAAAAAAATCAAATTTTGGATTTTTTTATTAAAAAATAAACTAATTTTAAGTATTTTAATTTTATAAAAATAAACCTAAATTTTTTTATATTTTTTTAATTAAAAATAAACTAATTTTAGTTTTTATTTATAAAAAAAAAAAAAACTCAAATTTTTATTATATTTATTATTAATAAATAATTAATTAATTTTTTTTATAAAAAAAAAATAATATTAAAAAAATTCAAATTTTTTTTTTTATTAAAAATAAATAATTTTATTTTTATTTATTAAAAAAATAAATATAAACTCAAATTTAATTTTTTTTATATTAAATAATAAACAAATTTTTAGTTTTTTTTTATAAAATATAAATTTAAACTAAATTTGGGATTTTTTTTATAAATAAATAAATAATTTTAGTTTTTATTTAAAAAAAATACAAACTTATTTGGGATTTTTTATTAAAAATAAAAAATTTTATTTTTTTTTTAAAAAAAAAAAAAATTTGGGATTTTTAATTATTAAAAAAATAAATAATTTTAAAAATTTATAAAATATAAATAAAAAAAATTCATTAATTTTGGATTTTTTTTATTAAAAATTAATATATTTTTATTTTTATATTTTAAAAAATATCAAATTTTATATTTTTTTAATTAAAAATAAATATAAATTTAGTTTTTATTTATAAAAAAAAAACCCCTCAAATTTTTTTAATTATTTTTATTATTAAAAATAAATATTTTATTTTTATAAAAAAAAATAAAAATATTCAATTTATTATTTTATTTTTTTATTAAAAATAAACTAATTTTATTTTTATTTATTAAATAAATAAATATAAAATAAATTTGGGATTTTTTTTATTAAAAATAAATAATTTTAGTTTTTATTTAAAAAATTATATACTAAACTTAATTTATTTTTTTATTAAAAATAAAATAAATTTTAATTTTTATTTATAAAAAAAAAAAAATTTGGGATTTTTTTTTTAAAAAATTTAAATAATTTTATTTTATTATTTTAAAAATAAAAAAAAAATTAAATTTTTTGGATTTTTTTATTAAAAATAAAAACTAATTTTATTATTTATTTATTTAAATAAAAAAAAAAAATAAATTTTGGATTTTTTTAAATTAAAAAAAATAAACTAATTTTAAATTTTATTTATAAAAAAAAAAATCAAATTTTTATTATTTTTATTAAAAATAAACTAATTTTAGTTTTTATTTATAAAAAAAAAATTAAAAATTCAAATTTTTTTTTTTTATTTAAAAATAAACTAATATTATTTTATTTATTAAAAAAAAATAAATATATACTCAAATTTGGGATTTTTTTTATTAAAAATAAACAAATTTTAGTTTTTATTTATAAAATATAAATGAAAAAAACTCAAATTTGGGATTTTTTTTATATTAAAAAAAAAAACTAATTTTAGTTTTTATTTAAAAAAAAAAAAAAACTCAAATTTGGGATTTTTTTATTAAAAATAAAATATTTTAGTATTTTATATTTAAAAAAATAAATGAAAATTCAAATAATATTTTTTTATTAAAAATAAATAATTTTAGTTTTTATTTATTAAAAATAATTTAATATAAACTCAAATTTGGGATTTTTTTTATTAAAAATAAACAAATTTTAGTTTTTATTTATAAAATATAAATGAAAAAATCAAATTTGGGATTTTTTTTATATTAAAAATAAACTAATTTTTAGTTTTTATTTAAAATAAATAAAAAACTCAAATTTGGGATTTTTTTTATTAAAAATAAACTAATTTTAGTTTTTATTTATAAAAAAAAATCAAATTTGGGATTTTTTTTATTAAAAATTAAACTAATTTTTTAGTTTTTAAATAAAATATAAATAAAAAATTCAAAAATGGATTTTTTTATTAAAAATAAAAAAAATTTTAGTTTTTATTTATAAATTTAATAAAAAATAAACTCAAATTTTGGATTTTTTTAATTAAAAATAAATAATTTTAGTTTTTATTTATAAAAAAAAACCCCTCAAATTTGGGATTATTTTTATTAAAAATAAACTAATTTTAGTTTTTATTTATAAAAAATAAATGAAAATTCAAATTTTGGATTTTTTTATTAAAAATAAACTAATTTTAGTTTTTATTTATTAAAAAAAATATAAACTCAAATTTGGGATTTTTTTTATTAAAAATAAAATAATTTTAGTTTTTATTTAAAAAAAATACAAACTCAAATTTGGGATTTTTTTATTAAAAATAAACTAATTTTAGTTTTTATTTAAAAAAAAAACCCTCAAATTTGGGATTTTTTTTATTAAAAATAAACTAATTTTAGTTTTTTATTTATATAAAATATAAATAAAAAAATTCAAATTTTGGATTTTTTTATTAAAAAAAAACTAATTTTAGTTTTTATTTATAAAAATAAAATTTCTCAAATTTTGGATTTTTTTTAATTAAAAATAAACTAATTTTAGTTTATTTATTTATAAAAAATAAATGAAAACTCAAATTTGGGATTTTTTTTATTAAAAATAAACTAATTTTAGTTTTTATTTATAAAAAATAAATGAAAACTCAAATTTGGGATTTTTTTTCATTAAAAATAAACTGTTAGTTTTGATTTATAAAATATAAATAAAAAATTCAAATTTAGGATTTTTTCATTAGGACTCATATTCTGTAACTGGAGGTGACAACAGAATGGACCAATCATAAAACAGAACATGGCGACAAGTCAACCAATGAAATGCCCCTCTTCAAAATTTTGCACCCCTCCTTAGTCCTAATCCTGTGTAGCGCCCCCTTTAGCATCAATGACAGCGCGCCGTCTTCTGTATTAGTTGTCTATGAGGCCCCCGAATTCCTGCCAGTGGTAGAGCTGCCCATTCGTCTCGGCAAAATGCCTCCAGGACATGCAAAGTCTTTGGTGGTCTTCCATGAACTGCACGTTGGAGATCTCCCCAGAGCGGCTCGATGATATGAAGGTCAGGAGACTGTGATGGCCTCTCCAGAACCTTCACCTTTTTCTGCTGTAACCACTGGAGGGCCATCTTGGCCTTGTGCTC